TTAATTTAAAATCTCCAGCTACCTGCTTATAAGGGTACTTACCATGTTCTCAGAAGCCAACGTATCAGGTGTTCGACGCAAAAAGCACCCATATAAAGGCCCTGAGATGCAGGTCAATTCCAGAGATAGGCTTACAGTCTCCAACGCGTTGGACGATTTCTTCTGTATAGTCGTCATCATTTCATGCGTACCTGCATGGTGTAGTTATTGCAAATACAGGTTGTTTCGTGTACACCGTTTCGATGAAAATCTTACGATCAAGTGACTAAGAACGTACACACTTTCCGCTTGAATATTTGAGTCATTTGCTTCTTCGCCTCACGATCAACGACCATGGTGATGGTTTGCTTCAAATATGGTGGCGCTCCAGAAACAGTGAAGAGAAAATGTCTGATGCAAAACTGTGATGCTCTTGGGGTCCCTCCACAAGTGAAGGCCACTCTAGTGGACAACGAGGTGAATAGAGACTTTACCAGTGCACTCTCGAGTCACGTAATGATTAACGAGGTTACAGATGGCAGAGATGGCATGGGGTTTTATTATCGGGTTGATCGGAGTCGGGTGAAAATGCGTGCCACGTTGCATGACAACTGATGCTGTAACGTTATGCATAGGGGCAACTCTGAAGATTTATAGCGTTTATATTACTAAGAATCAAGTTTGTGAAGCACCACGGCTTTTGTTCTTGAATATGCTACAGTTCTTAAAACATAAACCGTGTTGTTCAATGGCTTGAATTTGACACGTGTAAAACAACATAGTTTTTATAATAGTCGTAAAGGATAATAAAGGATTAAGCTCTCTGCATTGATCAATTCTTGAGGGATGCGTCATGCATTCGACCTCATTGAGCATCGTTAGAGGTGACTGAAAGTATATCTGGCCTATGCAATGACTAGCGGTGTCCTACCAATGTGTCGGGTCAGTGTTGCTATTCTACACGACAGGTCTGGTACCAATTCGCTGACTCCGAAGGGATGAAAGGCTCGGTGAGTCTGAGGCGCGGGATCGAACCTATGTGTATTGGAGAGCACTCCTAACTACTGTGCTACACACGCTTTCTATAGTGATAGGATGCGAAAGTGAGGCGAATAATAATATTCTTATCTCATGAGGTTAAAATTCTGATTTTCTGAGAAACTTAGCGTATACTTCTCTCACTTTATTACTTAACGGGTAATCATGAAAGCAATTGGGGAAATGTGAGTTCTAGTAAAGGGTGATGTTCTCCGACGTACTGTTTATGTTAGCTACTGCCGTTGCTAATTCCAAAGCCATCAATTTCGTTACCAATTTTTTGAAGGCTTTAACTGAAAACATATTTAAATTTGAAATATCACGGCGTACAAATTAAATGTGTAACTCAATTTTAAAGTTGATTTTTAGAAGTTTTCGCGATTGCTAACTCCCCAAATACTCTGGTGATCGAGGAGTTCTTGTCAGTGATAGAAAAGCCGGAATCATCGCGCGACTGAGCTGGAGAAAACCTATGTGGTGGTTCCCCTATGTGTGTGGCTTAGTAAACTGGAGGCCAACCTTGCTTCTATTTTTCGTCTTCAATTATCTTTCCCTTGATTATTCTCCAGATCTACATCTCCAATTTCTGTTTCTCACTTTTGCGTTCCCCGAAAGTTTACTAATCTATGTTGTTGGTTTTGATGTAATTGTAGGAATATGAATAAGGTGTGCAATAGTTCCGCCGGCAACATCTCATTCAGTGGGACCAGTGGGACGGATCTCCTGGGGCGACCTCCTACAGAAGTTGCGACGAGCCGACGAATGCGAAGACGTGAGACATCGCACAAGTTATCTACACATCCATACACAGCTACCGCCAGCACAATATGTGGGAATGACCGGTGATGGTCCTCGCAAAACACACAAATGCCTCGGCGACCTCTTCGACGACGGTGGGAACGACGATCACCAGTGAGCAATACTCAGAGAGGCGAGCGGCTCGAAACGACAGTTGTAGGACCTCTTTCGTTGCTACCTAAACGAAGAAACGTTACTGAACAACCTCCACTGATTGTGATCCTTACATCAGTAACGTTCAGCCAAAATTAGAAAGGAACAAAATCAGACCGAAAGAATCAAAAAGAATTCAAAAAATGAAAAATAATATTTTGAATTGAAACCTTGCTTAAAGAGCTATCGGCATAAAGCACTGGAAAAGAGCTGATGAGGTCCTGACACGAAAGTTACAGCGCTTCTCAACACTTTGTCTCATTACACGTTACTTTAATCTGAAAATAAAACAAGCAATTCAAAGTCGATTTTTGCCCTGAATCGATAAAAAACCAATGTATCGGAGAGCGATCATCGGTTACTTTGATCGGCAGTCAAGACCCATCACTACTGCCTCTAAGGCTGGAAACGTATTCTCAGCGTGATTTAGAAATTTCAGTCGGCCAGTGTAGGGTTCGTCCGGTGCTTATTACCTAGTGGATCGTGTGACGTAAGCTGTTGACAGGTCGTGCGGTACGCAATAAACAATACCTCGGGTTACGGTACCACCGCACCTCAGGTCAGCGACTTGTCCATTGTCGATGCGCACTTGACATACGCCTTCGAGTGACCCATTCGGTGCTAAGTGACTTAATCTCAGCTGCTGGGCTACGTCCTAAGGTATTTTTGGCTCAGGACACCAACCAGTAGTAGCAGAACTAGAATCGCACCGAATCTGTGCCAAGCGCTGTCGCATTGACGCCAGTCGTGGCTCTGTGATCTCAGTTCGGCCGGCAGCAACGCCACTGTGAGACGGCGGCAGTGTGGGAGCAGAGGTGGGTTGCTCTTCTTTTCTTCATTTTCTTCACGGATTCCGCTAGCGGACCTGGGGGTGTGAGTGCCCATCGGATCGCTGGTGTTGCCGCCATCCGAATGCAGCAGCGATTTCGCGCAAATCGAAGGGATACGGGAATTGTTGTGTCATGTTGTCATTTGCATGGTTTACGTGTGTTCTTTGTTTGCTTACACCATGGTGAGGCCGTAATTTCGCTGCTCCCATCCATTGAACAGTATTGTGTTTAGTTTTGGTCGACGTTCATGCACTTTCCGTTGTCGACAAAGTTCGCTCTACATCGCATCCACTCCCGCTATAAGCTGTAGCGTCAGTTTCGGAGTGCATAGCATTGCGGCCAGTCAAAACCATCAGGCGTTTGTGGGTTTGTGGGCTACGAAACTCCAGTGTCGTTGTGTTCCTGTCGGAAAACCTCTGCAGAAGTCGCCGACATCACACTATTTGGGAAAAGTCGTAGGCTAATTTAGGGCTTGCTTGGTGTCGCATGGTATTCGTTTGAAGAGTTGATGGAGTTGATGCTAAATGCGTTGTAAACGTTTCTGTTTAAGTTTTTAATGGAGGTAGGTTCTGTAATCACGTACCTGGCCTGATTTTTTAACGTATCCGTGCTAGCAGAACTTCTGTCTTTCTTTGATAGTAAAGTGTGACAACAAAAATCGGTAGAGATCTATTGAACCAGTTGGGTTCGTCATGGGGGTGACAATGGCTAGGACGAGTCGAGAATTGCACGTTATTATATTTAGATGCTGTATGAGTGATAATGTAGTTGACAAGTGTCCGCATACGAAATTATTGCTCATGGGGAACGGATTTTCGCTCTTTTATTATGTCGGAGTCAAATAGAAATGCGATGTGGTGGCAACGTTTTTGTTAGGGATATCTCTGCATGCCGGCTGCTCCACTGGGGTCAAATGTAGATTGCAAAGGATGCTGAGTATCCCTGAACTTATTGATGGCTAGCTCTTCCTAGTTTTTTTTCTCAGACATAACACAAAAGTTCCCCAGTGTTGAAAGATTCACTTTTTCACTCTTATTTTTACACAATGTTCTGGGATCTTGTGAATTTTCACAGCCTTAATTTGGTAAGTTCTTTTATCGGAACTCTTTATCACCTAGTCGAAATGTGTTTGAGACGCTTCGTATGAGTTGTGGGTGGAGGTGGATGGGCGGGCCAAGAAATGCTGCTGTTGACCCGCCCCTTAAACCCGTACTGTTGCGCGCACTACCATTCCTAATTCGGCCAGTTTCTCAGGTGGTTTCTAGACGGTTCTGCTCAGCAATCGGAGGTTTAGTGCTGTAGCTGTCACAGAGATCTTCTATATTACTGTCCTGTCCGACATTACTTTGTTCTGATTCTTCTATGATAAGATATGTAGTGAAACACCTGGAAGATGGTTTTTTAAAGCCTCTGGTGTCGTCGTAGCGATGAAGATCTTTGGTAGAGTATTCATTTCCAGATCCTCAAGTCCAACCCAGCTGTAAAGAATTTCTTATTAATCTGGGGAATATTCGTTACTTCTGATTGCGCCGTATAATCCTTTACACTTCACTTGTGAAGAATGAATATCCCGTACTGTTGCGCGCGCTGCCATTTCTGATTCGCCCAGTTTCTTAGGTGGTTTCTGGATGGTTCTGCTCAAAGACTACTGTAGTTTACAATGAATCTTCTAGGTACTATCCTGTCTGGGTTGCAGTGTTTTGATTCTTCTTTGCTCAGTTGTATAATAGTATACTTGGGGAATGGTTTTTTAGACCTCATATGTCTTCGTGGCAGAAGGAAACTTGTAGTAGAGTGTTCATTTCCAGACCTTGAAGTTCAATCCAAAACACTCGATAAGAAATTCCTAGCGAATCTGGGAAATATTCATTACTGATGATTGTTTGAAGTAATCCTCTGCAGTTCATTTATAAAAAAGTAAATGTTCAAAGCTGCTGTTTTGAGAGGATTCCAGATGGAGTCTTTTAATTTTGTTCGTCGTCAGTAAAGATGGCGGTAGAATGCTGTTTCTTCAACATTCATGCTGAATTTTTTGATCCTGCTTGCCCACCATATCACATGAGTAATGGAAAACGCTCCAGAATTAGTATTACGTTCAGCGACAACAGTAGATGGGGCGGAGTCGACTCACCATGTGCGTTTTTCAGTGCCTGTGCAACGGATCTCATCAACGTCTAGCATTGGTCTCGACGAGTGATGATGATGATGACGACTGCAGATGAGTTGGCCTCGTCATTACATTGCGCTGAATTTCTAGCAGATTCGCCATCCACCTCGACTTTGCTCCACGCCAGCGCTCTTGCGGCTCCTACTCCTGTCACCGAATTTCATCAATATCTTGAACATCGACGTCGGAGTGGTCGTATTGTGCTACAACCGCTCAACCAACGTCGCGTTAGTCACGGACAGGTAATTAGTTATATAGAATGAAAGCTGTTTGCATTCCTTAACGTTACCTCGAATTGCATCCTTTTCCGCCGCTGCCCTATTCGCGTAGCGTCCAAGGTTCCTCTTTGTTCGTGGCGCGTTCTCCACGACTTACATCATATGTGCGCCAGATGTTGCTTTGCCGTGTTATCTTTCTGTATGTTATGACTCGTGGGCTACATTAACTATCTATAATTGTTGCTCTTATGATCCTATTGCATCTAACGTTGCTGTTGTTGTTGTCTCTACAATGTACTCACTTAAGGCGAATTTCTGTTTATGGTAGCCTTGTTCTTCGCTCCCTCAGTTGCTGCACTTTGTTGACCCGCCTATCTCTCACACTTTAATATATCTATGGCTCGCTCGTCCATTCCGTTAGAAAACTGACGCTGATGCACATGATGACCAGGCAGTTTGCCCGAAGAATAGTTTCTTAACGTGAATGATGTGTGCTCATTTGCAAGTTGAGGTGAACTTCACCAGGTGGATGCTTGTTTGCTGGCCATGTCTCCACTTCCACCGGTTCCGTCGCTAATTGCGCATTGTCAGCAGACTCGTCCGTAGATTTTTGACGTTGATACCATTACTCTGCCTTTTCACCCAACAAATTTGAGCTCCTAAGAGGAATTTGGGATCAGACGGGTTGGATAATTCGAAGTCGCCTAACGAATATATGAGAGGTGATGGAAGATTCCAAATTTGAGTTATCTAAGAGTTGTGACGCGATAAGACCAAAAACAAAGAAGTGCGCAAGTTAGCGCGAAGCTGAGTCAAAGTGTGATTAAGAGGTCGTATAGACAAATTGTTGTCTCTTAACTGGGCACTTTTTTTCAGCCCACCGTAGTGTCCCGTAAGCGGCCCTCCACTGTTGATGTACGCTTAAATTCCGCTCAACATCCTTCCGTTCCAAGCTGCCACGATCGTTCCATTCATCGAGATGAGCGAGTCTTAGAAAACCTGCTGATTGCTGAGGTTCGTCTTTTTTCCATATAATTCTGTTTCAGCAGTACGGCTAACGTAACGTTGAATGTTTTTTAAGTATTTTATTATGTTCTTAGGAAAATCTAAAATCAAATCATCTCTATTTCACATCAGTCCAAGAGCATATTGAACCAGTTCATCGTGAACAGGCTGTTGAGTGGATATGTGATGTGGCAAAGGTGGGATATAATTGTACTGGTGTGAAAGCACAATAATCAGCTACGATTTTGTAGGAGGAGAAATGCGACGCGGACGTTTTCCCGTTAGCGGTTTCACTCATTGATCGCTTTCTTTCTCTACAGAATATATTCCGGCAAGATATTCAGGTACGATCTGGTTTTTCACTATTCATATAGAAGTTTATTTTAACCACATTATAGGTATTGGCTGGCGTATGTTTATTTATTGCTAGTAAAGTCAAGGCGCCACAACCAATGAACGCAGCAAAGGTTGCTTACTACACAGCCGATAGTGTGAAAGTTCATGATGTGTTGGTACGTCATACTTTATAGATCGTTGTACTATTTGGTATCTTATGGTTCACGAAATTTCAGAGCTGGGAGCTTCTTGTACTTGCCCATCTGAATTGGGAGATCACGACACCTACGGGCTTTGACTTCTTTGACCATCTCTCCGCTCGATTGCCTTCCCTGCACACACTACGACCTGCGTTCACATCAGTTCTTCATAGGATTCAGCGTTGTGGGTTCTCATAATCTTGGTGTTCAACTTATTAAAAGAAACTAATGGTTATGCCGACCGATGTCATTGTTTGTTGGAAGTGCGCTTAGCAACATGTACTTCCTCACTAACCTCTCGACTAATCTGTAAATTGTCGTCGTTATGTTCTCTAATCGCATCCACTGTCGCTTCGTTTTTGACGTCGTAGGTGGTCTGCGTACGGAAGTTGATCTACTCTGAAGCGCTGGAAGTCCGCGTTGAAACGCCTTCGATTCGTATGAGGAAATCCATGTTCTTCACGAATGAGGATTGTTAAAAATTGCTCGTCTGATTTAATTTTTCTTCTGGCAAGGAGTTGAGCGATTAAGAATTGTTTTTGAAAAAAAAAAGCTATTCAGGTGAATATGAGGGTTATGTCTTGTCAAGTGACATATTAAATAGTTGAAGGTGGTCGTTACATAGAAAAATGTCGGTATTTTTGAGCTGATGTGCTGCGTGGAGAAATAATTCGAAGAACCCGTTCGAAGACCTTTCCTTTGTGATAGCATATCTGTTTTCGAAGCACTTCACTAACTCGCAGTGTGCATGCTAAAGTCACTTGGTTTGCCTTGACCACCCGTGGAGAGCGTATCGAGGTGGTGCGTTATGATGCGAATGATTGGGATACCAGCATCGCCCTCGTTCGCATTCTGCGGCACTCACCTCCACGGTGCTCATGCCTCATTGCATCTCCTCCGTTCGATGTTTGTCGATGGAGCCTTGACGACCTGGTACGCTACAGGTGATGTGACCTCCCAGGGTGCACATCATCGTCATCAAACGACATCGAAATGTTGCACTTGGCACCACTGAACTGATTGCCTTCGCGCGTTTGACATCAGCAGTACGGGTTTCTTTGTGTCCTCCATTTCATCAGTGTATCTCTTGTGTCCTTTAGGAGTGGATGAGGTCTCTTAGGATAAAGAACATTTGATCGAATCCGTGTCAAACTAACACACGGCGATCGTGTCTAATCTGCATCACAATGCCATCGTTACAGCTAGACCACACACATCGTTCCCTGTGGTCGTGCATCGTCTCGCGCATCCAGTTTTATGAGACTAGCAAGAAAGCCATTGGTCTCGCTAGGTGGCCCACTACATGTACCAGTACAGCCACTATAACTCTTCCATACCCCAGTTACAGCAGTAAGATTGAATTTAATTGGCTGAGTTTTTATGCGGGGGAAAAATGATGTTATTCTGAGTTGGATAAGTAACAAACCAAGTGTTTGTTTTATGTTTTTACCAACACCTATCTCTGTTTTTTGTATACAATACGACACACAATCGATGCACAGCTTTTCGAGATAGCTCAGTTGACAAACATAGGTGAGGTTTTTGAGGTTTCTTTAAAAATAGGTAGGCTTTTGTGCGTTAGCTGATGAGGTATAACGGTTGTTTGGTGTTTATCACCTCCGTCTATCGATGAATGATATTAGGATTGATTGTTTTATCCTGTGGGGAACTCTTCCAGTGCTGAAGAAAAATCTATAGCATGAGGTGATTAGTACGGTTTAAGATTTCCATGGGTACACATATCTGATGGTTTTTGCCTTTATGCGTCTTTTGGTGCCGTGTTCTAGCATACAAGTTTATTCAAATGCAAGACATTTTGCTCCTTAGCTTTTTTTCCCGTTCGGCTTCTAGCCCACGCGCATTTTTTGGCCGGTTTTCGCGCTGCCCGATTTTGGTTGGCGGCGCAGGGACACAAAAGGAATCGTTGCTGCTTTTTTCTGACACGGCATTCACTATTTCAGGCACGTTCTCGTGCCTTTTTCTAACTGGTCATCTATTGGAGTTTCCGTGGGAATGCTCTGTTTAACACAACTACAATCATCAATAGTTGTAGACATTCAGCGTAGAGCAGCAATCAGTCATCAGTGGCTTCATGATTGTCAGCATATGCCCTAGTTGTACAATAGATTTATGGTGATTGTTTGAATATACTAGCACCTGCTCATGAAGAGGTCGTGGTTAAGGTTAGCTGGTGAACGGGAATCATTGTTTTTAGCTGTTCATCAGTAGTGGGGCAGTGACGTCCTTAATTAGAGATTCTGTCTTGCAAGGTTATTAGGCGCTTACGGTCACAGGGTGTATACCACCGCAGCACATCTGTTGACAGCAACAGTAAGCTCACGTCCGTTCAAACCTGTCTTATCGGAGGACGTTTTCGTAATTGCTGAGTAATGATGAAATACTGAAGGTCTCTGTATGTCAACGCGGGTAGCGATACCGCATTTGAGAAGACTAGTACAAGGTGTGGTAGGTTGGCGCCGCCGAACATTCAAACTTTCTTAGGCGTTCACGCGCGGTGGAGTACCTGAATTCTTTGCTCTAATTATTGATGATAATGTATGATATAAAAGCATAGCCGGCTACTGTGACGACCTTCGCTTATACAGACGTGTTACTGTTATCTCTTTCCATCGAAAACTCGGCAACCTTGCCGCCGCGTCTTTCAGTGCACTACTTGCAATGCACATCGTTAATACTGCACACTTGGAATTAATCGCTGTTGTAAGATCACTATCTGCATACGAGTGAAGCGCGAAACATCGGCTGGTGCGAGCAGCAATCATTAGTAGTGCTATTATGAAATTATTTTTTCCTTTCGATCCCACTTTCGGATCTGGGAACTTGTCTACCCATTTCGATGGTGGTTTAATAGTCTGAAATATTATCACCATTTCCTCTCCTGCCCAGCTTCCGGGTGGCTTCCATTTATCTACTTAAAAGTGGCGGACGGACCGCCCGCTGCGAGTGCAGTTTATCACCTGGAGACAGACCTCGCAGAGGAATAAACAGTTGTACCGTGAGAAACAGTTGCCTATGATTTTGGTTTGAATTCACTGCCAGAAGGCCCTATCGTTTAGCTGATCAGAAGATATATAACCGAATTCTATTCGATGAGTTTGCGTGGGTTCTAGTGATAGGGGGGAGAAGCAATATTAAGGAAATAAGAAGTTTTTTGGACGAATATCTATGCCAGAGTTGGTTTATAGACAAAATAAATGCATACGTTGAGGTTTTAGCTCCTTTGAATGATTGAGAATGTGAGTGAAGAAAAATTGGGAGTACGCCTTATTTAAGGTCTCCTTATAGATTTCTCTAAAAAGTTTAATTTTTAGTGAGGTCAAATATCGTCAATGGTTCGATTTTCTCACATTTGCCTTTTCGCAAAGTGCTTACGAAATGCAAATAAAACATACATGTTTAGGAACTTTTATTGATCGCGAATTTCCTCCTTTTTATGGTGTATACGATTTGCTTCGTTTTATATGCTTTGATGGGTTAATGCAGAGTTTTGAACATGATCTGGTTCGGTAACCTGAGCTATTTGCATACGCATCATCTCATCCATCATCGGGCGTTGGCATGCGGCACATGTGCCTTTTGTAATTTTGTTTGCTGAGAAGCTTCCGAGGTAGTTGTGTAGTAATCGTGTACCAGCAGCACAAGACACAATTTGCCTCCTGCGTAAACAAGTTTTTGTGCGAAAGTAGAAGAAGCTATGAATGAAGGCCATAGAATGCAATCAAAAAGCTGCAACTAGAATCATGCCACTCTTCCAACTGTTTCGTCAGTGAATTAATACTAACGACTCAATCAGTATGAGGATTTACGCAGCTGAATGCATGAATCGTATTTGGAAGGAACCCCGCAGAGTCGACAGCTGTTGGTGCGGGATTCACCCACCATCACCATCATCCTGCTCTATTCCTTTATGACTTAAAGAGTTCATTGGCCCAAATAGTTTATTCACAAATGCAGTGTACTATTTCGTCTTTGCTTTCTCAAGTAGAACGCCTAGTCGACTCAAGAAAGACGTTGTTGCTACGAGCAACACCGTATTCGTCAAAATTGGCGACGATTTTCACTAGCATCCGTTATCTGGCGAATGAATTACAGTATCCTGAACGGATCTAAACACACGCGTCAGCTGATCCGCATAGGAAGTCTATTTTATCGGCAGGCCAGTCGTGTGTCGCCCAGAAATGATTTACACAGTGTCCATCGCGAATCGGGACGTACACATCGCCACGTTGCCGTGTCTCTTATTGGATGTTTATCACTATTCGATATGACACATGTATGACACTAAATCATAGCGGCGAACCAGTTCACGGGAAGTTGCTGCTGGTCACTCTCTTTGAACTCACCGATCGCACCGAAGTCGCACCATGTAAAATTTGGTATGTTCGGTGTAGACTTCATCACCGATTGGCATGGTTTTTGTGGTCGCATACATATGGTTCTTTAATTCAAACAGCTCGGCAATGAAAGTTGGCGATGGGTCTTAGGTGACAGGCGTTCGTTCGGCACTGTCACTCTGCTCATCAGCATCACGTGAAAAGCACACTATTCAAAAAACACCCATCCGTTTTAGGAATGAAGTTTTGTATCGTCGTGAGGAGTGCGATGTTATGATACTATTTTCACGTTTATTTCCGGCATACCAACTTGATTATATGCATCACAGGGTGTTGCGCCTTGAATTTCATTTCCTTTATCGAAACGATCATACTAGAACACCTACCTCTGGCAATAAGGTGGTTGATTGAATGGAATTCAGCACACTATAAATTAGTCCTAGTTCTTTTTTCTCCATATTCACCAAACTTTTGACTTTTTTGTCGTTCCACAGAATGGCAAAGCATAGAGTTACGCAACGTGGGTCTTTCGTATCTGAGGTCGGATCCCAACAAAGACTAGTGTTGGGATAATGGTTACTAGTGGTTGCGTTGGAATAGTAAGATGTGCACATCGACCGATAGTATGTTGCATTTCATCTTATTCAACGCGTAACTGAAGTACTGTAGTACGGTAGAATATTCTAAAACAATGAGATGTTTGAAATTGCTCATTTAAATGATGCGCATATATGATGCGACGTTGACCATTATTCATTAGGGCATGTCAACATTGCCTCACATTAGGCTTTAGGTACGTCATCCACGAGGTTTGTGTCACGTAAGTCTTACCAGCGATGGTTT